CCTCCCCCAAGCCCTCAGTGGAAGATTGGCTACACCATCAACTTCGAAGCCGTCCAAATTGTGGATTCTAGAGTGATCTTACCAAGTCCCAAGGAGCCACCTTCGGGGGCAATGATACCTCCCGTCTAGCTGGAATATAGTTAAATTTTTAATTTATTTTTAAAAAATTATTAGTTTAAAATTTATAAATTAGAGACTTATATAATTATTAATTTTAAAATTTATAAAATTAATTAAAATAAACACAAACTAGCTAATAAAAAAATAAAATAAAATAAAATAAAAGTAATATCCCTCGTATGCTAGTCAAATTAGGCATTGCTTTGAAAAAGAAAACAACGCAGAATAAACAATTTAACTCCACTGTATCATTTCATTTCCCACGTTTTCAATATAACAAAAAAAAACACATAAAATTGAAATATCAAATAAAATCAAACTTATTAGTGTGCATTTGAGCTTCTCATCAAGGTGCGCAAAGCGATACTTCTTCGTGAGGATGTCTCTAGAATCATCATTTTCTTATTTTAAAAAATAAAGCTGGACATTAGCAGCAGAGAACTAATATATGACAAAATTAAGAGTAAATGTAATATAAGAGAAAAATGTGAGAATGAGTTTTTCTGGAGGTAAGCTTGTTATTTTTTCACATTGATTGAAAGTATTTATAAATCTTTATCATATTAATTCATCAGATATAGAATAATGTTGTAATTTATTAATAAAAATATTGATATTTATTATTAGTTATAAAGCTCGGTATTATAATTGGTTGAAAGGTTAGTAGATATGGTGACATGTTAATAAGAAATAACGAATGACCTAGAAAAGAAATAACTGATTTTAATAAAACATGAAGCATATTTATATTGCTAATTATTGGCTAGAAATTTAATGGAAAGCATGAATAAAACTATATGTTTACAAACTATTTATGGCTAGCATTGTTAGGCAAATGCAAGTCATTTATGGCTAGTTTTTTTTTAAAAAAAGAAAAAATTGCACCATCACTATGCCTGATCACCTGATCAATATGAGGTTAGAACTTCTTAGACTGTAGGATGAGACCTGTAACTTGTTCAATTCATCCATAGTTGTTTACTGAGTTTTTTTTTTCTGGTAAATACTTCTACATTCTCATATTACATTAATTTTTGTGTATAATAATTGTGATTGTGTAAAATAAGGTAGTGAAAAATATTTTATACATACTTTTTTATTTGCTCTACCTATAAGCTGCAACCTCTCCTCTAGAAATCAAATTATTTATAATCAGGATTGGAGTACAATTGATAGTACCTTAGTACCTAGATCTCTGATGTTCTAGCATACATGTGGATCCTTAGTGTTCTAAAAATAACTAGTTGGTGTCTTCACATGATGTCGGGGGTATTTTTAGATTGTTTTTATTTAATTTTAGGATAATTAAAATAAATATTTGTAAAAAAAACTAATAATTTCAATTCTAAATAAAAAATTTATATAAATATTGATAAAAACTTTCAATAGTTTAAATATATAAAAAATGTATATCTTTGATAAAAAAAATTCCTTTCTACCTTTATAACTTCAAATTTTTTCAGAATTGTTTTATAATAGTCTGCTGAACGTTCCAATGTAATGGATTCTTTACCTCTTGAAGTTTTTTTCTTAGTTTCCAAGAGTTTTCCCTAAAATGTCATGACATGGGGATTTCATTTAGAATATATATATATATATATAGTAAACATCGTTCCAAATATTGAGTTTATGTTTGAAAACATGGTGTGGTTGAGTGTGGTAGACTTTTTTTGTACCCAATGGTGTGTTTATGGGTATTGTAATAGTTATTTTTTAAAATATTTTTTATTTTAAAATATATTTAAATAATATTTTTTATTTTTTTAAAATTATTTTTGATATAAGTAGTTAGAAATAATCTAAAAATATTAATTTAAAATAAAAAAATTAATTTTTTTTAAAAATATTTTTAAAATGCAATGGGAAACACAAATGAATTATACATGCCACACCATACTCTCTAACATATCTAAATAATCTCAACATATATTCTTTTACAATTATCTTAGACATCAAAAGGTTTTTTTATGCCAATAGACATTTTTTGAAAAGGTTATGGAGCCATGAGTCCAACCCAAAAAAACTGGTGGACTACGCCCGTTACTTGCATTGGATTTACGGCATCCCAGTTCCCAAAGGTACCCCGGGCCTGTCCGATATAATAATAAAAGTTATATTAATTATTTTTTTAAGATCTAAAATAATTCTATATGGTAAGGAAAAAAAAAAGTTATGTGAAGATTCTAAGCCTTTCTTTCTGTGGAAAAAAAAAACATGGTCTGCCTGTTGAATTATTAAAAGCTAGGTATTTTCGAGCACAGTTTTTCATATAAAACAGTGAATGAGATGAGAGGCTCCTTTTTTTCCTTTTTAAATCCTAATTTTTCATTTTTTCTTTGATTGAATTTATTTATTTATTTATTTTAATTTTATCCTTTAATATTATTGATTTTAAATTAATTTTTATAATTTATTTCTGTATATTTTTTATGAAGTTATTATAATTTTAAACCAATATTTAAATATTTGATTAGTACTCAATTTTACAATCATCTATTTTTATTATCGTATCCTTCAATAAGAAATAATTATAAAAAATAAATCAAAGCTATTAAATTTAGTAAAGTTCATGATTTGGATCGTGAGTTTGGCGGATTAAATTGAAAAATCTAGATTAATCCAATATATTTTATCTCAATATTAAAAAAAATATATATCATCTTCAAACTTTTTTAAAGTTAAACAATGTTTTTTTTAATGGTTTTCATGTTATCTTTGAACTTGTCAAGTTAACTAGGTCACATAGAATCTACTTCTAAATAAGTTAATTTTAAATTCAAATTAGATAAAGAATTAGTTGAAAAGTTTTAAGGTTTACCTATTGGGTCGAGCTCTTTTATAAAAAAAACATTCCATCTTTATTTATTTTTCTTTTGATTGAATTCTTTTTATTTTTTTCTTTTTTTTTATTTTTCTTTTGATTGAATTCTTTTTTTTTTTTATTCTTTAATATTTAGTTGATTCTTAATTGGTATTCGTAATTTATTTCAATTTGTTTAGGTTATCACAATCTCAAATAAATATCTTTGTATCTGATTGATACTTAATTTTTATAAATATTTATTTTTATTATCATTCAAAAAATATTATTAAACACGATAAAGTTTATGCTTCCAGTTGCAAGTTTGATAAATTAAGCTGTAAAGTTCAAGTTAATCCAATATATTTAACAAATTAAATTTAAACTTGAACAAAACAAGAAATCAAGTCAAAGATTTCAAGGTTTACATACTAAGTTTTGTTTTAAAAAAATGCTAAATAATTTCTTATAGTCTAAATATTTTTTTTTATATTTTAAAAATTTTAATCTGCTCCATGATGTAGCAGCGTAGGCGACTAAACTAGTAATGAATGTAATTTGAGTTAGATTTGTCATTAGATGCCAATCTACCATTTGGACTTGCTCCATTCCATCGAACCAGGTCAAAATTTGACTTCTACTATGTGTACATGCACCGAAGCATGAATAAAATTGTTGAAATCACCAGGCACACGATTCAACTAGTAAAAACATAGAATCTAGATTTGCTTGCGCTCCAAAAGGTTTAATTTCATGTTTATATATCTTCGATTTACATGAATTTTTCATAGGTGAATTCAAACTAAAATTACCTTCTTATAACCAAACAGGACAAGAAGAAGAGAAATGAACCTCTAAGATTACTGTTCACTTGTATTAATTTTAACGCCCACAGCATCTAAGTTGTGAAAGAGAATAATCAGTTACTACTACATGCGAAGCGAACGGTATATATATATATATATTTTTATTAACGTGGGTGTCCGGGCTAGTTTAGCGAAGCGAACGGTATATATATATATATATATTTTTATTAAGTTTTCAGTGGCTATCATACAAGCAATCAAAGATTCGAACATGAGACCATCAACTATATATATTTTATTTATATACATCACACCCTGTCCTGTAAAGAATATTGTCTAATCAGGAAATCTGGAAATTACATGGAAGAACAACTCTATATGCGGGCAAGCTGTACTCCTCCTACTTCTTGGTGGAATTGCATTCAAGAGGGAGGCCCTGAGGGAATCGCTTAGTGTCTGCGCAGTAATTGTAAACCATATAATTCTCCTGCACCCATTTCAGCTGTTTTTGACTTGTAGAATCCAGCTCTTGAGAGTACCACCGGTTATTAGATGAGTTATTGCAGGACGAGACTCCATTAGACCCAATACAAGCATGGGCATTGAAGTTTCTGTATGAAACAGTAAAGGGAGCTTGAGTCCAGTCTGTCTTCACAAGACCCCCTCTTGTAGCCCAGTCATCTGCATTCCATATGCTTGCATACATCCTCATTGATTGCCTTTTGGGGTATGGGACTCCGATTGATTCCATGTTTTTGAATTCCCTTATTGGTCTCCCATCAACATAGAATCTAGATGGACAGAAACAGAAGTTAATAAATATTTCGAGTACTTGAAAAAGGGAAGAAGAAGAAGAAGCTTTGTGAAATGTTGCATATAGATTAATATGTACTAACACAATATGTCTTGGATTCCAGAGGACTGAATAGGTATGAAAATCAGCTGTTGGATCAAACCAGAGGTAGAATTGTTGCTCTCTGTCACCTTTTCCTTGAGTGTACACATTAGTATGGACTAAGTACGGATCACCACTCAAATTGCCCAAAAACTCAAAGTCAATCTCATCCCATGCTGACCCTTGTGAGTGTAGCTGCTTCATGCAAATATTAAGAATTAGGCTTCTTCTATTTGTAATCTGGGAAAAAGAACAAAAGCAAAAGGAACTGGAGAACGGAATTAATTAGGACTTACGTAGAAGGTAGTAACAGTGCCAGCAGAGTTGCCAGGGACAAGCTTGAGTTGGATATCAAACTTGCCAAAGAGATACTCATTCTTGGATTGGAAACCTGAGCCAGATGCTCTGTCAAGGGAAAGTGTTAGAAGATTGCCATTGTTGAGTATTTTAGCTCGTCCGTCTCCCCATATGATATCAACATCTTGGTAAAAGGTACCAGCGTCAACCAACACCAAATCAGAACCAACCAAAAGAGAGATCACTAGCAGCAGTAGTAAAGGGTTTGGCTCAGAAGGGTAGGCAGCCATGAACCTATAAAACGCTTGATGGTTTTCAAATATGAAGTATTGCAGCAAGCTCTTGACTCCTAACTTGTTTTGTTTGATTTTGACCTGCTAAAATGTTACAATTTTGTGACAATTTATAGGGAGTCTGGATGGTGGCGAATTAGAATGTTCCTTTCAACTGTGGAGCACATCGAGTGGGTCGGTGTAATGACATGAGAAGTAAACAGCTGGATACCATGAACAAGGCACAATGATATGGGATTCCTGACCACAAACTTAGCCAGGCCAATTACATGCTGCAGTTTCTGGAGGCCATTTATTATTTTTTTTTGTAAATTAATCATGCCTAGTTTAAAACAATGATTCATATGCTTTACTTTTGATAATATTAGAACTATTTTTTTTGTTTTCACTGGGCTTAAAAAGTTGTGTTGCACGTCTATAGCATTAACTTAACAAAACCATATCTTGTGTTCTAAGCCAAAACCACTAAAGCGCACATACGTTTCAATATTCATTGGTGAAAGTGATTCACCTCCGAGGCTGTCCACCAACCCCAACAGACTTTTAAACTATAAATCTGGGATTAAAAAAAAACCAAAAACTGTCTTAGCAACATAGTGATCAACACGAGTGGAGACTAAATTATAAGTTTTTCAAACATAATGTACTAAGTTATAATACCATTCAAAACACAGGGACTAAATAAAAAGAATCTACGCGATCTCAAAGTCAAAGCCGTGTTGCCTGTTCGAAACCACTAATCTAGTAGCTTCCTCCAAGCACTCAGTGGAAGATTGGCTACACCATCAACTTCGAAGCCGTCCAAATTGTGGATTCTAGAGTGATCTTACCAAGTCCCAAGGAGCCACCTTCGGGGGCAATGATACCTCCCGTCTAGCTGGAATATAGTTAAATTTTTAATTTATTTTTAAAAAATTATTAGTTTAAAATTTATAAATTAAAGACTTATATAATTATTAATTTTAAAATTTATAAAATTAATTAAAATAAACACAAACTAGCTAATAATAAAATAAAATAAAATAAAAGTAATATCCCTCGTATGCTAGTCAAATTAGGCATTGCTTTGAAAAAGAAAACAACGCAGAATAAACAATTTAACTCCACTGTATCATTTCATTTCCCACGTTTTCAATATAACAAAAAAAAACACATAAAATTGAAATATCAAATAAAATCAAACTTATTAGTGTGCATTTGAGCTTCTCATCAAGGTGCGCAAAGCGATACTTCTTCGTGAGGATGTCTCTAGAATCATCATTTTCTTATTTTAAAAAATAAAGCTGGACATTAGCAGCAGAGAACTAATATATGACAAAATTAAGAGTAAATGTAATATAAGAGAAAAATGTGAGAATGAGTTTTTCTGGAGGTAAGCTTGTTATTTTTTCACATTGATTGAAAGTATTTATAAATCTTTATCATATTAATTCATCAGATATAGAATAATGTTATAATTTATTAATAAAAAAAATTGATATTCATCATCCGTTAGAAAGCTTGATATTATCATTGATTGAAAGGTTGATAAATATCAGTGAAATGTTAATAAAAAATAATTATAACTGATTTTAATAGAACATATTTATATGGCAAATTATTGGCTAGAAATATAATGGAAAGCATGTATAAAACTATATGTTTACTAAATATTTATGGCTAGCATTGTTAGGCAAATGCAAGTCATTTATGGCTAGTTTTTTTTTAAAAAAAGAAAAAATTGCACCATCACTATGCCTGATCACCTGATCAATATGAGGTTAGAACTTCTTAGACTGTAGGATGAGACCTGTAACTTGTTCAATTCATCCATAGTTGTTTACTGAGTTTTTTTTTTCTGGTAAATACTTCTACATTCTCATATTACATTAATTTTTGTGTATAATAATTGTGATTGTGTAAAATAAGGTAGTGAAAAATATTTTATACATACTTTTTTATTTGCTCTACCTATAAGCTGCAACCTCTCCTCTAGAAATCAAATTATTTATAATCAGGATTGGAGTACAATTGATAGTACCTTAGTACCTAGATCTCTGATGTTCTAGCATACATGTGGATCCTTAGTGTTCTAAAAATAACTAGTTGGTGTCTTCACATGATGCCGGGGGTATTTTTCAGATTGTTTTTATTTAATTTTATGATAATTAAAATTAATATTTGTAAAAAAATTAATAATTTCAATTCTAATTAAAAAATTTATATAAATATTGATAAAAACTTTCAATAGTTTTAATATATATAAAAAATGTATATCTTTGATAAAAAAAAAAAAAAACTTTCCTTTCTTATTCATGCATTTTTTTATTTTGAAAACAATATTTTTGTACATATCATAAGCATTATTTTTAAATAAAAACTTATCTGATAAAAAAACGAGAAGAGGGCCACATAGAACGAGGAGAACGCTTATGCTTAATCATTTGGAGTCCAACCAACTTAAATGATGACTGTACACTCTTACAAGACGGGGAGGTGCTCTCCTTGCAGTTTAATATTTTAAACATGGTTTTAAGACAATGAAAAAAGATATATAATTACCTGTTCTGTATTGATAAAGATCTCGAGTGTTCAAATTTTAACCGCTATAAATTACGTATCCTCTTTTATAAAGATAAGAGAATTATTTTCATCTTTATTTATAGTTATTAATTGGGACCTATTTCAACTCATAATCACACCAAATTGGTTGATATATTTATTTGGAGTTGTCTTATTATCTACTTCAAGGACATGGATATGAGTTCTCATCATCAAGCTTTAGAGGACCTTAAGAATAAAACAAGAGAATATGAATCAAATTAAGCCAGATGAACACAATAAATTTGTCCAAATTATTCAACTTTGATATAAGAGGGAAAAAACGCATAAAAATATACATGACGACCTCATGCCCAAAAAGAAAATCCCTAAACTAGGGAATTCTACTACATAATTATCATTTGCTTGGCATGTAGGCGGTTAATGGTGATCATTACGATCATCGGAGGACGTCGAGGGGGGGAAGATATAATCCAAGCCAAACAAATCGTCGTCGTTTTCGCCGAAATCATTATTACCTCCATCGCCGAACTGAAAAGAACTGATCTCATAATCCAAAATTGTCTTCTGAACATAACTAGAACTTTGGTCGAGCTGAAGGTTAGTAGTTTGAGGAATACGAGGAAGCGCATTATCTTGAGAGACTCTTGCCAGCCCATTTTGAGAATTATGAAGATATGCAGAAGCAAAATTACCATACCTATCAAGATAACCCATCTGACTTACGGGATTATAATTTCCAGTCACTGTAGGAACACTAGTAACCGCATAATCTTGAGAGACTCCTGCCACCAGCCCATTTTGAGAATTCTGAAGATACGCAGAAGCAGAATTACCATAGCTATCAAGATATCCCATCTGACTTCCTGGATTAAAATTTCCAGTCACAGTGTTCCTACTATAAACCGCATGATTTTGAGAGACTCCGGCCACCAGCCCATTCCGAGAATTCTGAGGAAATGCAGAAACAGAATTACCATATGATGTATCAAGATATCCCAACTGACTTCCAGGATTATGATATTCAGATATACTAGGAACCACAACTTCTTGTGGCACCAGATTTCCATTATTTTCCGATGGTTGATCTTCAATTTCATCATCCTCTAATCCATTGATACGAGTAATTCTAGGAGAACTATCATTCTTGTTACGAATTCTGCATAATACCCATTCATCAAGCTGCATATAGCACGAGGCAACAACATTGAACATTAGGGAAAGAGAGAAATATTAGACTGTAAAATACGGAACGTTAAGTTGTCACTTAGCACATTTAGGTCGTTGAAGTTGATTAAAAAAAAAAAAGAAATACGTTAAGTTGTCACTTAGCACATTTAGGTAGTTGAAGTTGATTAAAAAAAAAAAAGCGCCATAAGTTGAAAGCTTCAAAGTGAAAAGATTGATTTCGGTATAAAAATAATCAGAAAAAGGGAAAAATAAACTTACCCTCATACCATCATTTTTCCGTTTTGGTGCTCCATCGGAATTGCTTGCTCTATATTCATGCATAATCCAATTGGTTTTGGCACCGCCTGGAGCTTTCCCTCTATAGAAGACCAAGGTCTTCTTGCTTCCAATAACTTGATTGCCGTTTGTAATATCTGTATCAGCTCCAGTAGCCTTCCAATATCCATCGCCTGCGGCTCGGTTTGGTCGATCCCCATTTGGATACTTCCTATCTCTTGGTGTTAAGAAGTACCATTCCTCCTCCTCTCCATATGGTTCGTAGTTTTCTATTTGTAAATTAAAAAACAAAACTTTTCCTTTAAATTACTACATAACTAGTAGAATCGCACGCATTATCAAAAAGCTTGCAAGAATATCATTTTTCTTATCAATATTGATGAGGTTTTAGAGGAAAAGAAACTAATTAGCATGAGGTATCTTCAATTTCATAATCCACCACCCAAATTCAAAATTTTCAGATAATTGCTGCATCCAAGTCATGGACACAGGTGACTTGAATGGTAGCACGTAAAAAAAGGGAATTTTTAGATACTTATAAGGCCATGGAATAATCACACTGCTGTTCATTCAATGATGATATCGATTATAGGAGACAGGAATACTCATGATCTTTCCAAGAAGGGTTTACGAAGTGGATTTCTTATTAAACAAGTGTTTAATCCATTAACCACAGAGCGGATAACCAACTGTTAACAGGTAACCTAAGGGTACAGGTCAGACATTAAGCACAGAGCTTCCAAATTATGATTTTATCCTAAACTTACTCTGCAAGAAGCAGTTTGGAAAAAGCAAATAATCTCACCAACAACACTAAACAGCATAAAGTAAAGAATGCAAATCATTAAAGAGGAAATGGGGGGGGAAGGAGAGTTCTGCTCAACCTGCAAGAGTCTCTGGGTTATATTTGTATAACGTAACTTCGTGGATACCACTGCGTGGCAATGGTCTGTTCCAGATCTTGCACAGCAGGTAACACGAGATGAGCTCTTGATCTTGAGGCTTGAACCTGTAACCAGGAGGGTACTGATCTTCCTGAACAAGTCCAGGATTGACACCAACCTGAGCATGAGACGGGTAAGTAATGCTACTGTTGGTAACAGGATTTGTTAAACCAGCCCCTCTCCTTTGGTCCTCCATGATCGACACTAAGGCTAGGAAAAGAAATATACCCAGCTTTCAAGGAAAAGTAGGGTTAGGAAAACGGGTAGACAAACTTAGATATATATACACACATGTACAGGTGCTGTCTCTACAAAATAGCTGTTCTAATATCAGCAGGAAACAAACTCTTTCAGAATCAGCTATATTCTCTCTACAGAATTGAATTTCCACAGTTAGTTTAGCAACCAAATTCTTTATAATTGTTCCAAGTAATATAGCTGTTATCCAACTTTCTTCGGATAAATCAGAGATAACATTACTGAACAGAAGCAAACGCAGAATACGGATTGGCCAAACAGCACTGGTTGACTCCGATACAGAGACCAATATATATACATGTATATAAAGGTTTGTTTTCAAGAACTGATCTAGAAAAAAAAATACAAGATAATTAACAGAACTCCGAAATAAAATTGTTAAAATATCAAAGTTATTTTTTATTACAGTAGTATTATCTTTTTAAAGGCTAACAAAACTCTTACTAAAATGAATCCATAGTCTTAAAAATGACTAAATCTCAGCTGTCCAAATTACTGCATAGTATTACATAAATAAACTAGATAGAAGAAGGAACATCATCTAAATAAAATCATCAAAATAAAGTTGTTTTTTTTATTATTATAGTAGTACTAGCTTTTTAAAGACCAACAAGACTCTAACAAAAACAAGTCCTTGATCTTATAAATAACTAAATCTTAATTGGTCCAAACTACTTCAAAAAACACTAATTATATGAAACTTACTGCAGTCATAGCTACTGCATCATTCCTTCCAAGTTGAAAGAAACTTATCCCCATATTGAAACTACTCTTTATCATTTAGATGTTCAATCAAGAACTTTTAATCTTCCTTTTTTTTCATATGTATAAAAAATTTAGATATCACTTAATTTATTTAATGTTAAATTTTACTTAAAAAACATTAATTAGTAAACTTGGTTCATCAACATGTGTTGAATTTATTTAATCCTTGAATAAATCTATCTTTATGATAACAGCAAACATATAGTCAAAAAGATCAACATAGCCAAAATTAATAAATTTAATTTATTGAGCAACTTTCACTTTTACTTTGCATTCAACCTCTAGCTTGTTAATAAAAACATCATTGTTAACATTATCATTATCATTACTATCATTATTTATATGATAACTAGATAGACAATTTATGCTATGCTCCAAACTAAGTTAAATTTTTTTAATATAAAAAACTCAGGCAATTATAATTTAAGCAAATCTATATTAACTTTACTAACATGCTACTCGAGATAAGAAACAAAAATAATCCACATGAAGAAAAAAATAAATTGCTAAGCTCAAGTCTAATAATTAAATACCAAATGATGAAAAAAAATAATTTTAAAAATATAACATTGAAGAAAAAAACTCAAATTAACCTGAGTTACTTGAATAACTCATGACTCATGATATAAGATTGAGATAAAAAAAAATAGAATTTCAAAAAAAAAACCTAGTAAAAAAAAGATCAAAATTCAATAAAAAAAAATTATGCTAGTCCAAGTTAACTTTACTTACTTGCTCTTGGGATAAATTAAAAAAAAAAAAAACTAAAAATGATGAAGTTCAAGAGCCAATAATTTAATATTAAGTAATAAAATTAAAAAAAAAATCAATATTAAAAAAATAAGAGAAAAACTCTCATGTTATTTCATGTTACCTCAACTAATTTATCATCCATAATATAAGATCAGGAAAAAAAAAAGCTTTCAAACAAAAAATTTAAAAACAAATATTAAAAATACAAACAGATCACCCTGGAACTAGCATTTTAAACATTAAACATCTATTATTTCAAACATTAAAGATCTATTATTTCAAACACCCTTGAATAGAATTCCCATCAAATGCAATTTATAGCAGGAGCTAAAAGGAAGTTCCATGAAAGGACAAACAGAACACCCTGCAATTAGCATTTAAAAAAAAAACCATGGGAAAAAAATTCCATGAAGGTTTGAATCTAAATACAATATATCTATCGTTCAATTCAGAACTCTTCCATGTTCAAGGATTTAATTACCATACGCTGCTTGGGCCCCAGCCCAAACGGCAACACCCCGCCTGTCCCCTTCCACTGTTTTCGACACCCTATCCAATACACGGACTGGACTAGAGGACCCAGAAAAGTGAAGTCGCCCACCGCCACAACACACATGCTTTTAATGCTTTTTATTGACAGATTTATACAAATTATCAACTTTTATTCGGGTTCAGCGACATTTTTTCTTTTTTAGTGTGAAAATTAGAGTTTTTAAAAACGGTTTAGTGATTAATTCGGGTCAAAATCTAAGTTATGAATTTTTACTGAACCGTCAACTTTTAAATAGGTTACTCGAGTTAATATTAATTTTTTTTAATATTAATTTTTTTACAAATTAAAATAATATTATTTTAATTTATAAAATAATTAACCAATTATATACAAGTTTTTAATAAAATTTTATAAAATTAACCCGATCACTTAAATCTTTAACTTCTTTTATTTATTTTTAAACTTGATCCTATTCCAACTCTAAAACACTATTCCAACCCTAATTCAATAGATTTCTAAATTAATTTATCAGGCAGATTAAATTTTAAAACTAAAACTAAGATGAAATTACATCATTTTCTATGCAAATTTAATATCTTTTTTTTTAACTACATGTCACTAACATTCCCGAGCTTCTCTTTTCACAATCTTTTTGTTTTAATATTTTTTCTCATTTTGATCTTACATTGCAAGGCCCAATTTTCTTTGACGCTGTACTTATTCTCAAATTTTCTTCGATATTATTTATCTCTTGCCATTATTAATTTTAGTATTGAAGATTTGCTTCTTCCATAAATAATTTATTTTTTTATTCAGTAATATTCAAATCCAAATTCAAAACCTAGTTTACACGTCTTGGTCCGCAAACTGTGAAAAGCCGAGTCTCCATTTGAACCTTTTTCATGAAATCATCACCATCGAAATTGGGAGATTCCAAAGGGCTAATTAAAAATGATTGACAAAACAAAGAAAAAAAATAAAGAAAACGGGAAAGATACTTGAATGTGGTTTCCGAGATGGTACTTGTGGTGTTAGGCTTTGAGCAACTGTGGCTAAGAATTCAAATTAATTCTCACCCAAAGATTTGAAACGATTTAATCCCCGAGCTAAGAACCGCAAAAAAACGATTATTGGATTCTAAAATGTTGTTTATTAGCCTAATAGTTATTTTTTAAAATATTTGTTATTTAAAATATATTTAAATAATATTTTTTTATTTTAAAAAAATTATTTTTAACATAACATATTAAAATAATTTAAAACAATAAATAAAAATTAAATTTTCATAAAACACAATTTACACCAAGATTCTAAATTGTGTCTTAAAAAAAGAGAGTTTTATACTTCTCAGCCTAGTTTTTTTTTTCTTGATTTGATTTTTATTTTTTATTTGTTTCTTAATGCTCTAAATAAAGTTACATTTCATTAAATTGATCCAAGCTTTAAAACCTTAGAAAAAAACCTTGAGCCTCTTGCGTTTCACTATATAGATTGAAACAGTGATTATTTTTTTTTATCATGAAGCGTTTTTTTTTTTAATTCTTTTATTTTATGTTTGGCATACGCGTGCTTCGCATTAGTTTGGTGAATGAAAGAACAAATGGAATGTTTGAAACCACTCCCGACAAACATGTTGGATTCCCTTTGTATATATTTATTTAATTTGGCAAATATGGGTCAGGTGTGGAGTCTAATGGAAAAGCGCAACCATCCGTCGGTGCCCAAGGCCAAAACGCGTGCGATGGATGATTCATTGGCTGGCTCGTCGATGTTGGTGAAATGTTGTGTCTTTTTGTACAGCAAATTTCTTACACTTGTCCAGCCTCAAAACACACTGTCCACAGCTAAGCTGAGCGTACGAAACTTCCCTTGCCTTTCTTGGACTTCCATTTCCTCAAGTATAAATACCAACCTGGCTATCTCCTTGACAATCCCAACTCCGAGCTTGCAAAACTTTACTTGTAGATCATCCTTGGCATCAATCGTTTATAATAGCCGATGGCTTCATCGAGTACTGTGCTTGTGCCCCTTGTAGCTCTTCTTGTGGCCACTTTGACGGTTGCTTCAGCAAGCAACTTCTACAACGATTTTGATGTTACCTGGGGAGATGGTCGTGCTAAGATCCTCAGCAACGGCGAGCTCCTCACTCTCAACCTTGACAAGGCCTCTGGCTCTGGATTTCAATCCAGGAAGGAGTATCTGTTCGGAAAGATTGACATGCAACTCAAGCTTGTCCCTGGCAACTCTGCAGGCACTGTCACTGCTTATTATGTAAGTGAACTTGATTGATTGCCTCAAATAAGGCACAAAACAATCATTATATGTGACTAACAGTAAACATGTTTTTTGTCACATGAATATGCAGCTGTCCTCAAAAGGGTCTGCGTGGGATGAGATAGATTTTGAATTCCTGGGGAATTTGAGCGGTGATCCTTACATCCTGCACACTAACGTGTTTAGCCAAGGCAAAGGCAACAGAGAGCAGCAATTCTATCTTTGGTTTGACCCAACTGCTGATTTCCACACGTATTCCATTCTTTGGAATCCACAGCGCATTGTGTAAGCATCAACTTCAATCCTGTTCCGTGTACAACATTAATACATGCTGTGTTACTAATTTTGTTACCTTTCCTCTGCTCCAGCTTCTCTGTGGATGGCACTCCAATTCGAGAGTTCAAGAACCTGGAGTCCATGGGGGTTCCCTTTCCAAAAAACCAGCCGATGAGGATTTACTCGAGTCTATGGAATGCTGATGACTGGGCTACAAGAGGTACTAAAAGTTGATAGATTTATTTCATTAACAACTTTCATTACCAATAGTAAACCAAAATCAAACCTCTAAATGTTTTTAGATGTCTTTTGAGCTAAAACATCTATTTAAATTTTAAAAAAACTATTATGAAAAAACTAATCAATTCTTTCCATTAAGGGATTGACAAATCAGTAGGCAAGAAATAATTATTCATAGATCAAATTTAATTTTAAATTTTAGGTTATAAAAAATAATTTTTCATGATTCAAAATATTATTTTACAATAAATTTAAATATAAATTTTAAAAAACTATTATGAAAAAACTAATCAATTCTTTCCATTAAGGGATTGACAAATCAGTAGGCGAGAAATAATTATTCATAGATCAAATTTAATTTTAAATTTTAGATTATAAAAAATAATTTTTCATGATTCAAAATATTATTTTACAATAAACTT